TATACATTGAGCGGTTTAAATTATCAAAATAGGACCCGTGATAGACCTCCACTAACTTAACAGTACCCTCCAATCCGTGGGACTGGAGGGAACCCTTCGGTTAAATATATGGAAAATGAGTTGGAGCTCTAATTAGAGTTACCACTAATGATGTGGCAGTGGGTCCCATCCACTGCCACAGTATACAAAAATGCTTGGGACCTCTAATTAGAGGTGCCACTAGTGATGTGGCAGTGGGTCCCATCCACTGCCACAATCAGCTATGTGTCTGTTTTTTTTTTTTTTTTTTTTTTTTTTTTTTTTTTCACCTCATTAAAGGTGTGTTTAGAGTCTCTAATTTAGAGTTCTCTAGCATCACGGCCACAGTATATATTGTGTCTGTTTGTTTGGCTTTTTTTTTTCTTTTTGCTTTGTCACCTCATTAGTAGTGGGTTTAGAACCACTAAATTAGTAGTATCTAGCACCACTGTAAATATATTAGGTTGAAATTCTTGCTCGTTCAAGGGGTCTGTCTCTACCTTTCATCACTTAAAAATGATTATTTTGATTTTTCAAAATAACCAATATTTTTTTAGATAGAAGATCTGAAATGAAAATTCTTATTCTGTGAAAAGATAATAGCCCTGTTTGGTAGAGCTGTGGGAAAGTGCTTATAACTTATACCTTAACAGCTTATAGCTTATAACTATGAACATAAGCTGATTTCTGACTTATAAATTAAGCATCTCCTGCCCCACTCAAAGAATAAGTTGATTTTTGACTTACAAAAAGTTATAAGCTTTAAGCTATAAGCTAAACCAAACACATTAAAATAGCTTAAATTAAGCTGAAAACTGGAATAAGCAGCTTTTAAACTGCACCAAACAGGCACAATGTATATTATGAGAATACCTGTTAATAATACTCAATTAAATTATGTATATATTTTTTATATGCACTTTTATTGAAGACATAAATTTTTAAATTTTCTTAAATGTGATTTTAGGGTACATGATTAGTTCAATTGTTCAGTTTTTTAAAATACTTATAGGTAATGATATAAAATAATAATAAAAAATTAATGACATATGGTATTTCTCTATCAAAAAAATCTTATTTGCATACATGTTTCTACTGTCCTATTTGATATAATTTATTAGATTGTTTATGATTTTTTTTTAAAAAAATTTCTATCAAAACGTTTGATATAATTTATGTTTATGGTTAATAAATTAAAAAATAATTTAAATAACTTAAACAAATTATTCAATATCGCCATGTTTGTTTTCAGTTTTTTGAAAACATTTTTTGGTAAATTTTACTTTCTTATTTTTCGTATTTTTTTTGTTTTTATTGAATTTTTTAAATTTTTTAAACAATTTTTTTAATTTTTAGACACACCTAACATAAATACACTTAAAAAATATAATTTTTGTAAAAAAATCTTTAAAAAACTCACTAAATATAAAAAATATATGAAAATTCAATATATTTTTCATATTTTTATGTATTTATTAATTTGTTTAAATATTTTATTTTTTAGATGCACATTTAGATACATCTAAGTAAGGTACATCTAAAAAAATAAAAATATATTTAAAATTTTAAAAATATTCAGTATAATCAAAAATATACAAAAAATAAAAATTTCAATTTTTAAAAAATTAAATTCAAAAAATTGAATCCAAACACACCTTTTGTTTTCTGAATCAATGGCGGAAAAAGCACGTCACAAGAGACAGGAAAAATGATGACAAAAGGATATAAGCAAGGATAAGAGGAGAAAAAGAAGGTTAAGTTGCTCTCTCTCTCTTGATCTCTCGATATACAGTCTTTTCATACTCTGCTCTTCTAATTCTTGCACCGGAGGGTTCGCTGGGGGACTACCCCGTTCCCCCCCTGAACTTGCTTGCAGGTCATCTGGCGGAGCCCCCTTTTCGAGTCGGAGTCTGGAGAACCTGGGCCGGTCCGACCCATCCACCCGGGAATCGATACATCATCAACACTTAAAAAATATAATTTTTGTGAAAAAAATCTTTAAAAAACTCACTAAATATCAAAAATATATGAAAATTTAATATATTTTTCATATTTTTCTGTATTTATTAATTTGTTTAAATATTTTATTTTTTAGATACACATTTAGATACATCTAAAAAAATAAAAATATATTTAAAATTTTAAAAATATTCAGTATAAACAAAAATATACAAAAAATAAAAATTTCAATTTTTAAAAAATTAAATTCAAAAAATTGAATCCAAACACACCTTTTGTTTTCTGAATCAATTCAACTCGTAAGCGGTATCTGGTTGTCTCTCTCTCTCTCTCTCTCTCTGAATCTCCCCCACCAAACACCCCTAAAATCTCCAACTTTCACGGACACTTCCGGAAGACCATTCAATTATTCAAGTGTGTTGTTCGGTGTCCACATAGTAGAAAGTAGGCGTTGTTGTGTCACTATCTGAAAAATTTTATTAAAAATTTGAAAAATGCTTATTGGACAGAATTTATATAATTTAAATTGTTTGAATGTGTCAAAATGATATCATTTTACATGTGTCAAAACGATATCGTTTTGAGTGTTTCGAATCATTCGAATCAATAAAATTTTAACCACTCAACATAAAATTCTAACCAGGAATTGGGGTGGTTGCTGTGCGGGGGTGCACAGCAATCACTGTTGTGCAGTCAATTCGGCCATTTTCGGGGTCTATTTTGATAATTCGAACCGTTCATATTTTAGAATACATCAAATAGAATATACCTGTAAAAAATTAAGTTAATCGGATATCATTTATCCATTCATCCACTCACATTTGTATCTACAAAAATAAATAATAATTGTAATTTAAAGTATTAAAATGAATACAAATGTGAGTGGATGAATCGATAAACGATATCTAATTAACTTGATTTTTTACAAGTATATTCTACTTGATACATTCTAAAATATAAATTGTTCAAATTATCAAAATAGACTTCAAAAAAAGACTCAATTAAATACACAACAATGATTATTGTACACCCTCGCACAGCAATCACACCCATTCCTTCTGACCACTCAACATTATTGTAATAATTTTATACTAATAAGAAATCCTGGAGGTTCCATACGAGTCTCGAGATTTTGATAAAATTTTTGGTAGGATTTTTATGATTTTTAACATTTTCTTTTTGAATTATGTATATGTAAACAGCTCACCATTTCGCCACGTGGATATGTTCTGAGCCGTCCAACTGTACACTACATAACAAAAATAGAAAGCTCCCTCGGAACAAGGATCCTCTAGAGTGATTTTTTCCTAAAGTTTCCTAGAGTGCTACATTGTGTGGTTGAGATTTACTGGCAAGTCACATCAATTTTTCTGATGTGACTTGCCAATAAATCTCAACCACACAATGTAGCACTCTAGAAAACTTTAGAGAAATTTCACTCTAGAGGATCCTTGGTGAGCTCCCTCGAACCTCCTGCGGCTGCCTTTCGCCTAAAACCACTGACCTCAACACAACAGAACGGAGACCAACTTAGAGTGAGAAATTTTCCGGTATGACCAAAATATCCTTGGCCTTTCTTCACACGGCAAATGTAGTCTGTTTTTTTTTTTTTTTTTGGAACTGAAATGCATTCTTTGTTTAGAAAGTGCTAATTAGTCTAATTTTTTAATTAATTTAATCTGGTTAAATTAGTTTCGCTTGAGAGAAATTTTTAATTTTTTTTAGTTTAAATGTGATAGTTATAACAAAAAAAGTAAAATAATTATAATATAGGCGCAACATTTTCTCTTATTAACTTATTTTATTTATTTTATTTTATTATGCTTATTTAATCAATTCAACTTGTGAAACTAAGCCGTAGACTACAAAACATGCCACCGGTCCCTTGAAATTAAAATATTAATAAAATTTCAAGAAGTAAGGTGATGTCATTTTATGTCGAATAATTCTATAAACCTCACTTTAACTATCTTAAATTTATCTCGAAAGAGATTGTATGGTTGAAATTGAAATTGTGTAGTGTAAGATCCATAAATAAATTTAAACCACAACATGATAATTCTGAATAATTTTTGAATGATTAAGTCCGAATTTGTAGTATTACTCTTTTATTTTAGTTGCATAGTTATATCTATAATGAAAATAGGAATATTGTTAATAGCATCCTAATTTTTAATTTAAAATTTAATTTTTTTTATATTACAATTTTATCTCATTATAAAATTTTATTTTTATTCTTATCTCTATAAACCCTCTAACAATTACTTTAACCGTAACCCACTTAGCTCAACCACCATTGGCCTAGGCTTCCCATGTCCCTCATTTGTCCTCCACCACCCATTAATCCATCACCACCCACCCTGTCATCCCCTAGCCCCATTCCATCCTTACCCCACTTGCAATCTCTCTCTTCATTGTGTTGGTGTTCGCAATCCTTTCTATTTTACAACTAGGGTTTCACGCACTCTCTCTGTTAATTTGAGTGAGATTTGAAATAACACAAATTATCCAAATACATATTAAAAAAATTACATTTTATTCAGTCGTATTTGATGTATAAAATCGATCTATGCAAAATAAAAAATAAAATCAATTGGGTTGTTTCGAATGATTGGAACTTACTACTTTCACACACAAAGTTATGAATTGAAACTTTAAAAGGTGGGCTAATAATTAAAAAATTTATTTTCCTACTCCAAGTGGAAACTGTCCTAAAAATTAAGCATAATAATTATTTGATATAAATGAGATTATTAGACTAGATGTACTGAAATTAGTCTGAAATATGCCGACTCATATAAATAAAAAGGGGAAAAAAAAACTAGCAAAAACATCTTGGTTTCCCGTTATCAAACAACTAAGAATAATGCTATATTTGCCATCTGTAAAATTAATAATAATAATAAAATAAAACATAACCAAGTAGGGTAAAGAATGAAAGACAAGGGTAATTGAGCAAATTCACCAAGAAACCATACTAGAATAGAAAACGACAGCGGATGCCCACTTTGCTATAAAGACCTTAAGAACTCCTCCCCTAGTCTTTGGGTGGTTGTTGACTCTCTCTCTTTGTCTCTCTCGGGATCAGCCGCCGCCGGCAGGTTGCGCCCCCACCCAAAGAGCGATGGAACGCAGGAGAGCGCCTCCATCCGCCGCCGCCAGCGGTGGAGGAGTGATATTGGGCAAGTACCAACTGGGCCGACTTTTGGGCCGAGGAAGTTTCGCCAAAGTCTACTACGCGCGATCTCTAAATGACACCACTGCTGTTGCTATTAAGGTCATCGACAAGGCCAAGACTGTCGACGCCGCCATGGAACCCCGAATTGTCCGAGAGATCGCCGCCATGCGCCGCCTCAACAACCACCCCAACATCCTCAAAATCCACGAAGTCATGGCCACTAAAACCAAAATCTACCTTGTCATGGAACTCGCCAAGGGCGGCGATCTATCCTCCACTCTACTCCGCCGCCCCGGCTGCTCTCCGCTCCCAGAAACCACCGCCCGCTGCTACTTCCAACAACTCATCTCCGCCCTCCACTTCTGCCACCACCACGGCGTCACCCACCGCGACATCAAACCCCATAACCTCCTCCTCGACGATGCCGGCGTCCTCAAAATCTCCGATTTCGGCCTCTCCGCCGTGCTGGAGGAGCACCGCCGCCACGGCCTCCTCCTCCACACCGCCTGCGGCACTCCGGCGTTCACCGCGCCGGAGGTGTTCTGCCGCGGTGGGGGATACGATGGCGCTAAGGCCGACGCGTGGTCTTGTGGGGTCATCCTCTTCCTCTTCCTCGCCGGAAACCTCCCATTCGACGACTCTAATCTCGCCGCCATGTACCAGAAGATTCGCCGCCGCGAATTTCAGTTTCCCAATTGGGTTTCGAAGCCAGCGAAGTATATCATTCGGCAATTGCTCGATCCGAATCCCAATTCGAGGATGAGCATCGAGGCCTTAATGGGTCATTCTTGGTTCAAGAAATCACTGCAATTAGACTCCTCTGCTCAGAATTCAACCCATTTGATTACAGAACCAATCAAAGAACGTAAATCAAGAACAACCATGAACGCGTTTGACATAATTTCAATTTCATCCGGATTGGACTTGTCTGGACTTTTCGAGCCAGCTTCGAATGGGAAGAGAGAGAGGAAGTTTACGTCCACGGCGGCGGTGGAGGAGGTGGAGGAGAGGGTGGTGGAGGTAGGAGGGAGGTTAGGGTACAGAGTGGAGAGAGAGAAGGGCGGGGCTATTGGGTTAGTGAAGGGAAGGACTGTGTTGTTGGCTGAGATTTTGGAGGTGGCGCCGGAGTTGGTGATGGTGGTGGTGAAGGTAGTTGATGGCGGTGGTGGGGTGGTGGAGTTTGAGGAGGTTTATTGGGATGATTTGAGAGTTGGGTTTGAGGGTATAGGTCTTTCTTGGCACAATGATGATGTGTCTTGAAGAGACATTGAAGGTTGGTTTTGATGAGAGCTTCAATGGAGGAGAGATATGGTGGTGGTGGATTTGTATAATGGTGACCATGTTTTGTGTTTCAGAGTTAAGAGAGCTGCTTGGACTTTCTCAAAAGCTAGTCTAGGTGTGGAACATGGTCATTCTATTCTTGTAAATCATAGATTTTTCTGTTAGTGTTACTTGTTGCTAATTGATTTCTCATAGTTTGTTTCACCATCTTGCTTTGCCTATTTACTATTCTTTCATTGAAACCATCTTTTTTGTCGTTCAAAATTTTATTTTATTTTTTTGTGTATAAAGATTTTCATTTCATGATCAATTATTATAAACAATAATACATATTCAGAATTTTTTATTCAAAATAATTTTTTAAAATTCATGTCACTCATGAATTCACATTTTAATTTAATTTTCATCATACAAACTCATTCACGGTGGAATAGGCGTTAAATTTTAAGGTTTGATGAAATTTTACCATTACATTTTTTTTCAACAAAAAAAAAAAAAAAAAAAAACCCCAAATATAGTGAAGTGTTTATCAATATTTAATCAATTTAAAAATATGGTCAATAAACTTCAAAATATAAACAATTCAAATCATTCAATCTGATCACGTACTCATAAAACATAATAAAAATCATTCATAAATTACTTTAAAAATCACCTTTCGATTTTTTTTTTTATAAGTGCTTGTTTATTTTAATTTATTGTAATAATTTTAAATTAACATCGAAAGCAATTGAGTCATTCAACTTTAGAAAAAGGCAACTTCCCATCATACCAATTCATCCTAATTCGATCCCCTACTTTGAATCCCTTGTTGTTAACCAAGTTTTGTTAGGACTCCGTGTCACAGGTTGCCTTACAAGGCCAACTTCGTGACGTTTTGCTTGCGATGATGTGGCCATTTGAGTGCTCAAGAGTGACCGTTAGAAGTGCCTCAACGTGGCCCAGCATTGGCCCCAAGCAGCCCAAGGCATGTAAGCCACCAATATCGAGCAAGCAACAAGGCCGAGGCCATGCCAGCAGCTAGCACTAGCTGCCAGCAGCAGCAGAAAACGCACAACTGCAGTAGCCAGCCGCAGCCCATGCCAACAGTAGCACACAGCCAGCAGCAGCACACAGCAGCAGCAGCCCATGCCAGTAGCCAACATGCCAGCAACAGTAGACAGCAGCAATAACAGCAAGCACCAGCAGTAGCAGCCAATAGTGCAGATTTTGGCGCATTGTTTGGGCATCCAAATGAAGAAATTTTGAGTTGAAATTTTTACTAGAAATAGCTCTTGGGGAAGTGTTTTCCCAACCAAGTTTCATTATTTTTCTCAATTTATGGAATTTACGAAAAATCATTATGACTCCTTGAACATATTAATGTTTCCTCCAGTCAGAGAGCCAAATGCTTAACAATCATATATAAAGGGCCAAGGTATGCTACTTACCTACCTCCCCACCCAAACTGGGTTTCAAGTGAGCAACCTTGGGACAACTCAAGGGCAGACTTTAGGCCTCCAGAGGGGTGTCTGGAGTCTCTACGTGGGTTTGGGAGCCCCGTGGACGGTGCAATAATGTAAGCATCGCGCGTGCCGCCCGAGGGAGAGGTTTGACACGTAGTCTCCCTTATGCCACGCGTTATGGCATCTTAGGGACTCGTTTTAGACTGAATGGGCTATCGAGACACCACCAAAGGCCTCGTGTGCCAACTCAAGTGCTTGGTTTGGATTTAACCTTGCACGAGAGGATCCCATAGCTTAAGCTAAACGGTTGGAAGGCAACACTGCATATGTGGGCTATCGAATGAAGACATCAAGCTATGCATTGACTAAATCCATTGAAAGACTACGTTATGCTACAATTGAGCTACGGATTGAGACGTTGCCTTACTCATGCTACACGTTGGTGTAACGCTGAGGTGTGCAATGGCCTTAGGAGGAATCTAACACACGTGTTGGCACGAGGACTATGTCGTGGGCAAGAGATTGACCCTCGGTGGCTTGTGGGCTTCGCATGGCCAAGTGGCCACCCAATATGCATCCATTGATGCATGCTTGACCCTAAGACACTTCGAGATGCTGTCAAAGACCCACAATGCAATGTTAGCTTATCGGCTAAGTCGAAGGCCTTCGCTAGCACATTGTTGTGTGGCTAGGCACCTTAATGACATGAACCTAAGTTGGGCGAGCACCTTGCCTGAGGTAAGCTTAGTGTTATGAAGTGACTTATGTCGTGCTTGGTGCACTTGAGGCGTCAAGCCTACTTGTGACATCCGGGTGAAAACAGAATTTCCTTGTGAAGTTGTTTTGCTAGACAAAGCATTGGGCCCTAATGTTCAAACAGGTGAGATCACTACCACTCGATTTGTCAACGAGCTATGGCAGGCTTAAACTTGGTGGAGTTTGAGCGCCACAAGGGTGAAAAATTGATCCGCTACGCCACTAAAGGGGTCGGCCCGTGACACTTTGCCATCCAGTAAGTGCGGCCGATGTAGGTCAAGCTCATTCCATAATTCGAATTAGTATCCACATCCACAACATCCACTGCTATAGCTTCTCCATCTTGCAAAGCTTTTCTTTGATTTTGGGTTAAATTAGGGACAAGGTGATCTAGTACTGGCTTTCTAAGCAAGAATAGAGATGGATTATTCACATGGAATAGTGTTAGGTCTTTCTTTATTGACCACACATAACGTCCCACTGGGGTTCCAGTCCCCAGATTGACTGCTCTTGCGAGCACTGGCTTAGATCCTCCTTTTGTTCCCATAAAATCATGGTATGTTGTTCTCTTCATTTCGTTGATTAAGTAGAATGGGAGGATACACAGAGTTCTTAAAAAAAAGAGTTATTGTAATAATACTTTAAAAAGTCGGATTCAGAGCTAGAAAAACTCATGGATAGAATCTCAACATTCTTGTGTATCAAGAGTCTCGCTGTATGAAGAGTGAATAGGAAGAACGAGATTTTGAGTACAGGAGTGTATCAAGAGTCTCGCTGTATGAAGAGTGAATAGGAAGAACGAGATTTTGAGTACAGGAACTCGTGAATGTTGACGAAGGATATTGTTTAGTAAAAATATCAAGATTGAGTTCAAAAATATCTTGGAAATATATTTTTTTTTAAAAATCAAAAGTAATTTGAATTAAGTAAAAAATATTCTAATAAAGTGTTATATATATATATATATTCTTTACTTTAGTAACTTTTTAGGAATAGATTTTTTAAGTAATTTTTTGGTCCCCTTTGGGAACAGATTTTTTAATAATGTTTTCACTTTTTAACTAAAATATAATGTAAAAAAAATTAATATGTTTGGTCGACTTTTTAATTTTTTATAAAAAAATATGCAAAAAATAGAGAGAAAATAGAATATTTGACTTTTTGGTATAGGTTGTTGGTTTTTTAGTTTTTTTAGTGACTTTTTGACTTTTAGACTAAAAAGTGATATTGCCAAACGAGGTCTTAATACATAAGATCTTTACATGATTAGTGAAATATCTCTCTTCAATTTTGGGTAAGAGATCCAACATATATTTTTTTTATTAGTTAAGGTCCTCGATGAAATTTCTTTGTGATTATACCAAATAAATTTCAAAATTTTTCTATGAAATCAAACAAATTTCTCTGTGAAAATTAAAATTTTCTATATCAGAGTGAAATTTCTGTATCAAATTTTTTCAATAAAAATGTTAAGAGATCCCAACTACTACAATATATATTATTTACCATATAAAATCTTATTATCATAAACCTTAAAAAAAATTCCCCAACATTATTTATGCGAGTCCACCGAATTTTTAATGCATGACTTATAATAATAAATAAACATAGTGTACTGTATATACTCCATAACCCCCTCACAATTTACATCTTAAATTTGTAGAGTAAGGGGTTATTTGAGATGTTCTAAATAAGTATATTTTTTGACTTTTTATAAAATATGAATTGGATTTGAAGTGATGTGATAGAAAGATAATGTGACTTAAATAAGATAGTAACTTTTTAACTTTTTTAAGGAATGCAAAACCTAACCTAAATATATATATATATTTTTTTATTCAACAAAATGGATAGGCAGATAGACTACACCAACATATCCGTCAGGGAGTAAGGAGTATGTGTAATCCCAAGGGACTATGGAGACTCCAACCTAAGCCTTGAGCGAAGGATTCGAAAATCTTATCCACTGAACCAACCCCTTATTGATTGACTTAAATATGTATATATATATACGGTTATGCTACGTAGCTCAAATTTTATGGCTCAAAAGTGGCTCAAATGACCAAAACGACGTCGTTTTGAGTACATAACAACATAAAAATGGCCAAAACGACGTCGTTTTGGCCATTTAAGCCACTTTTAAGCCACAAAATTTGAGTTACGAGACATTTTCCATATATATATATATATGGTGGGTGTATGCTCACTTAATAAGTGTGTCGTTAAATTTATAAAATATGAATTTTAATTTTAATTTAAAATTATATATATTATATCGCTCAAATAACAAAGATGTTTATCAAATTGAATGTTTTGAGTTCAAGTCTCATCTGTCTCATCTATCTCATCAAAACAAAAAAATTCACTTTTCTTTCTCCTTTAACAAATTCTTGAAAAATGAGTTAGACCTCTAAAAGAGAGTTTTAATTGAGCATTAATTTGTCCCCTTTTTTTTTCATGTTTTGTCTTTTATTTCACTATTTTTTTTTTTTAATATGTGCACTAACTCATTAGAGTTGCTACAGTGCAGCTCTAATTAGAGCTCTGCAGCACTGCTACAAATTCTTCTAAACACAGCATATCAAGTTTTCTGTTACACACCACACCAGACCACACACAGGGAATTGAAAATTCAAGTCAATTTTGTTTGGGATTTTTTTTGTTCCCTTTAACTTTACAGAGTTCAATTGTTTACATGGCCATGTCTCCCTTCACATATTTTGCTGAGGAGAAGTTATTTGGTGGTCCTGATATACAAACACGTAGTATTTCAAGCGTATTGTAATTTATAAAAAGAATGAAACTCATAATTTTATATTAAATAATTGATCAACAAAAAGAAAAATATAATAATTTGTAATTGGTTAGAAATATCGCTAAATGGTCTCTTGACCAAAAATAATTTTTCTTACCAAAATATATTCACCCACTTCTTAATCATACCTAATCAATGACATGACAAGTTTTTTGGGACTTTTCTCAAATTAAGTCAAATTAGTAATTTAATTCTCAAACTAGGCCTAGTTTGGACGGAATTCCCAAACTAAGCTAAAGCGCTATTACAAACCACACTTTCACTATTCTTAGGACCCTCCCGCGGGAAATTTGTGAAATAGTAAAAGCGTGGTTACAAACCACGCTTTTAATTAAGAAAGCGTGGTTACAAACTACACTTTTAAATAATTTTTTTTTTCTTCATAAAACGTGGTTACAAACCACGCTTTATAATTTTTTTTGAGAAAACGTGATTTCGAATCACGCTTTCAATACCAGCTACTCCATGCACTCACTTAGGGATGGCAATCTGAAACCGACCCGACGGTGACCCGATCCCCCGACCCCAAATTAAGTGGTTATTCACCGAAAAATGTCTCCGACGAGCCGAGGATGGTATTCAAAAGTTCATCCCCGATGATATCCGAGCCGGGGACGGGGATAGATGTTTCAGGCCCGGACCCGGCTCGGCCCCGGCCCCGCCCCGCTTAATCCCCGAGGTGAAATTACCGTTTTGTCCCTGCATATATATATGCTTGTGTTTGTCTAGGGTTTGAGACACACACTCAGACACTCTCAGCCTCTCACTCACACGGCGCTCTCCTGCTCCGCTCGATCCTCTCTCTCTCTCGCTCGCCACAACTGGTTTGGTCTCCCCCTCTCTCTTTCTCTTACCGGCGTGCCTCTCTTTTCACCGGCGATCCTTCGTCGCCACCGATCCTCCCTTACCGCCTCACCTCTGTCGTTTCTTCGTCGCTCCCTCACCGCTGCTGCTTTCTCTCCCTCATCGCCGCTCCTCCGTCACCGCCGACCTCCCTCACCGTCGCTGCTCTCACTGTGTAGGTATCTCTCTTTCTCTCTCTCTCTCTCTCTCTCTCTAGGGATTTCGTTCTAGGGTTTAACCTCTGTTTTTTTTTTTTTTCCTTCGAAATTTATAGATCTATCTATTTTATTTATAGATCTGTTTATTGGTCAAGATTAGTTTTTTTTTGCTCTAATTCATGTATATCTTGTTGATCTATTGATCTAATATAATATATACATATATGTTGATCTGTTGATCTGTATATTAGTTTTTTTTGGCTCTGTTGATCTAATTCATGTTTATTGATCTATCTGTTTTATCTATTTTGTCTATTTTATCTATTTTGTTTTTGCTTCGAACAAGCCTGTCGGAACAAGATTAGAAATGAGATAACACAACAAAAAAAATATATACAAAAAAATTATTTGTATAATATTATGTTAAAATTACAAGGTAGTGTCATTACGATGGTCAATTCAAAGTGATCTCATTGGTTAAAATTACAAGGTAGACTGAAAATGTAAGTAGCTTTTGATTTTGGATTTTGCTAGTGGATGGCATATTTATGTACAATTAGGCTGATGTCCCTTTATACTATCTTTAATTTTGTTTGAAAAAATCTGGGACATTGTACAACCATGCCACATTAGCAGTCATGCATGGCATCTCGACATCTAACTGGAGAGAAAAAAGGTTACAAGGCATGTTAAATTTTTTTATTGTTTTTTGTTCTATATGCTTTTTATTTGAGTTTTTGTATATCTAACCTTTGTTGCAACTTTTGACAGGAGGCAACACTAATTGGTGTGGACACCCTTGGTTTCGACATGAGAATTTGCTCAGGAACACAAGTACAAACATTGCGGTTTACATTTAACAAACGGGTATCTATCTATCCAGAGCCTCCATTTTTCTTTAAATTCTACATTTTTGTGGTCGAAACCACCGCGGGATTCTTATATTTCTGTTACAGGTCAGTCAGGTGCCATCTATTCTGCCAGTGCTCTCCAGCTAGTTACTAAGCGGGCGGTGTGGTCGGAAAATTACCCACACAATTTGGCGCCGTTTGTGGGAAAGAAAGGAGAATAGATGGCCAATGACGAACAGAAGCATCAGATTAGAGACAACGCTCCTGTTGGGAGTCGGAGACCTATCGATCTCGACGTTGAAGGGGACAATAGCAACATAGAAACTCGTAACTAGAGTCACAGAGTGAAAGAAGCCGGCCAGGAAGCTGACGCACCAAAGACAACAGATCGAAGCAACGAAGACGACCTCCAGGTATGGAATGATGGATACCTGCGGAGGAACGAAGACCCTTCCAGAAGGGATACAAAGATAGGGGCCATGAGCGCTCCCAAGGAGATAACATTCAAGTATAGAAGCACTCATCCTGAGTGTGCAGATCCCGGATTGCAGATCCCGGATTGCAGATCCTGGATCCCGGATCCGAGAAGACATGATCTCAGTCTAGACAAGTAGGCCCGAGAAGACGAGAGCTCAACCTAAGTAAGCAGATCCCGAATTCCAGATCCCGGATCCTAGAAGACATGATCTCAGCCTAGATGAATAGGTCCAAGAAGAGAAGAGCTCAACCTAAGTGAGCAAATCCAAGATTCCAGAAGATAAGATCTCGGCACCTGAGTCCGAGAAGAGAAAAGCACGATGAGCAGATCTCATATCCCAGAAGATAAAAAGGAAACACACAAGATTAGACTAAAGTTGGCCAGAATTGAGAAGTATGCTAGGGCTGAGGACGACATGCCGGGAACAAAGGCGTCGGAACAAGAAAAGAGAAACGGCTCGCCGATGCGAGGCCGAAAATCAAACTCAGGTTGGAGCCAAGTAAGATCAATAGAGAAACCAAGGCCGACAACCTCGGCTTGAATTCAACCTCGGCGACAAGGTCGAAGCTACATGTATGATGAGAACCCAAGTGGATTTTAAGATCACACTGGGGGCGTAGAGAAGAAGAATGCGTTTACCACTTGTTGAAATTTGTGGACAATTTACAAGTTGGTTAAACGGAGATGATGTTTAACCGAAGTTAAACCGAGATGATGCTTAACCAAAGTTAAGCCGAAGATGATGCTTAACCGAAGTTAAGCCGAGATAATGCTTAACCGAAGTTAAGCCGAGATAATGCTTAACCGAAGTTAAGCCGAAGATGATGTTTAACCGAAGTTAAACCGAGATGATGCTTAACCGAAGTTAAGCCGAAGATGATGCTTAACCGAAGTTAAGCCGAGATAATGCTTAACCGAAGTTAAGTCGAAGATGATGTTTAACCGAAATTAAACCGAGATGATGCTTAACCGAAGTTAAGTCGAAGATGATGTTTAACCGAAGTTAAACCGAGATGATGCTTAACCGAAGTTAAGTCGAGATGATGTTTAACCGAAGTTAAACCGAGATGATGCTTAACCAAAGTTAAGCCGAAGATGATGTTTAACTGAAGCTAAACTGAGATTATTCCTTAATTCACTTGTTGAAATTTGTAACAATTTACAAGTTGGAATTAAGCTGATTCCTTATCTTCACTTGTTGAAATTTGTAGCAATTTACAAGTTGGAGTGAAGCTGATTCCTTATCTTCACTTGTTGAAATTTGTAGCAATTTACAAGTTGAAGTTAAGCCGAGATTACTGTTTCTCTTCATTTGTTGAAATTTGTAGCAATTTACAAGTCGAAGTGAAGCCGAGATTATAGTTTGCACACTTGTAGCAATCTACAGGTTGGTCAAACCAAAGAGGATGCTTAACACTTGTTGAAATTTGTAGCAATTTACAAGATAACGTTAAGCCGACGTATGATCATCTGTTGAAATTTGCAGCAATTTACAAGTTGAGGAAAGAGCTAAGTATATTTAAACATTTGTTGAAATTCGTAGCAATTTACAAATAGATTATTGTTTAACACTTGTTATGTTAATCCTTGTTGATCCCTGTTACAGTATATGTTAATCCTTGTTGAAATTTGTAGCAATTTACAAGTAGGCTAGACCGAGATCACCGTTTAAACACTCGTTGAAACTTGAGAAAAAGTTTGCAAAGTTAACATTGAGTAGTATATGTTTCACACTTGATTAGAATTTATGAAAAGTTTGCAGGTCAGTATCTTGCCGAAGTAAAAGTTTTGTAGCTATTATACCTGAGGTATGTAACCCCGAGGAAATTGCACAGTTAAAGGTATATGTTGAAAGCGGACGTATGACTCAGGTCTGCAGAACACTAAAAGCACACTTAGAAGATCTGATGAGGCAAGGCAATCTGAAGGGACCTCGTCGATGAGACCAGAACAAGGGAAGAACAGGCAAAACTGCCTCGGGCGCCAGCAGCTTCGCCTCCCCCAGCACAACAACCTCAGACAGGAAGACCTCGGGTAATTAATGTAATTCACTTGAGGGTCAATGAGAACGAAATTAGGGGGGAGACTCAGAAGGTGAAACACCTGCAACATGTGTACCAAGTCGGGGACAAGAGACATCGGGCAGATGAGTGCTTGGGACTAGTAGTGTCTTTTACCGAAGCCGACCTCGAGATGGTCCAACACCCGCATAATGATGCTTTGGTAGTATTCCTCCAGGTTGGGGATTGCCAAAGTGAAACGCATCCTGATTGAACAAGGAAGCTCTTGTGACATCATGTATGTCCGATGTTACAAGGAGCTCGGCCTTCATCTAGACGATATGGAGCAACCCAATGGCCCAATGGTTGGGTTCAATGGAACGCCGACATGGCCACTGAGAGCAGTAAGCTTGGAGGTGCAGACTGGCACCAGAAAGATCACAACAGAATTCACCATCATCGACACTCCATCTCCTTACAAATCTTAGGAAGATCATGGTTGCATGCAATGGAGGCAGTTCCCTCAACGTTGCATCAACTATTGCGGTTCCCCACAGAACATGGGATTGAAAAAGTTAGAGGGGATCAACTGTAGGCGGAGAATTGCTCCATGGTAACAATGAAATCCACTAGCAGCATTCGAGAACCAGATAAGGCAGAGATTGAAAACGAAGAGGTACTAGATGATGTCGGCAAGGAGCCAGCCGAAAAGAGTGAAGAGACAATGAAGAAAATCCTCGTCCAGGAGGGTGACGAAGAGCGCTTCTTTCTTCTCGGCTCAGGCTTAGCCGAAGAAGAAGAAAGTGAATTGAAAACAAAACTACTCGGCATCAATGGCAGGATATAGAAGACAGTTGGAAAGACTTCTCAGCAGCCTTCTCGGCCTCGAGCTCAGTCTCGATCTCCTGAAGAGTTTGATCAAGGCTCTTCTCAGTGATTGGCACCTCGGAGTTTGAAAGTAAAGATTGAAAGCAGGAATCTGGAAAAAGACACAGAAAATAGAAACATGAATGTATTTCGTAATCAAGAATGATGATAAAGCTATCAAGAAATCAAGACAAAAAGATTACACAAGTATGTCAAGCCAAGAACAGTGGTAGAAATCAACAGATGTGTGAACAGTGTGTATTCAAGAAGATGATTTGGAAATAATGAGTAAAATAAGCAATGGTGATTAACAATGAAGCAGAGCTTCTTGGAAAGAAACAAGAAATAAAATCAGGAGGAACAGTGGCTTACCAGAAAGAGGGAAGCCGGAATGAGAATTGCCGAAGTCTGACGACAATGACATAATGACGTAAAGCTTCACCGGAGGAAAGGAACGAAGACAGTTGCAGAAGCTTGAAAGCTTGGAACAAATGACGAATTTAAGCAAAAAGAGCTAGAAAGATAAGAAGCCAGAGGATTAAATGAAAAAAGAGAAAAAATAGTCAAGAAGACAACAAAGTTCAAAAATAAAGCCAAGTGCACAGGCACTAAGTAAGCATGTGAAGAACAAGAAAGTAATGAACCAGACATGATGCTAGCAACAGAAAGCGGATATGACAAACAACAGTTCCAGGTATTTTAGCAATAAAAAATCAAAAACTTGAAGACAGACGAGAACAGAAGACCACAGATGGCAAATAAACAGATTCAAAGTAAATCAGAAGAGTTATGCAAGATTGAGCTTAATAGCAAGCAAATAGTTTATAAACCTACCAAGTGAAATGAACGCCGATATGAAAATTACCGGAGTCAAGTAGATGACTGGAAATCGGGAACTCACCAGAGAGTGTGAGTGGAGCAGTTGTAAAGCTCTTGGAGTTTACGAATCAATAGAACCAGAACCTCGGCTAGGAGGTGCGATTTCAAGCAGCTCGGAAAGCATGAAACTTGATTCTTGACACCAGTGGACAGTAAAGTCCAAAGAACTTTGAGGTCGGCGAGTTTGATCTCGGACAGAGGGGCACAGATGAACGAACAGTGTAGGTTCCATCACCTCAGAATGCCGATGTAATAGAACCTAGGGGACAGTTGTGGGGATATATTTTCTGAGTACCAACACGTGGCAAGGTGGCGCCGACGTGTCAGCCGAGGTGCCACATGTCTTGGTCGTTGTGCCGAGGTCATCTCGGCTAGGCCGAGGTTGCCTCCGAAGATATCAGAATCCGAGATAAGCGGATAAGGGACAAGAGTCCTAGAATGAAGAGCGGACTCAACTTGGATAAGGGACAAGAGTCCTAGAATGAGAAGAGAAGACTTCAGTTTGGGTAAAGATAAGACTCTTAGAGAGTTTATCCTAATCCCACTGAGAGTCCCAGATTAGCAGTAATCTTGAGTCTATAGAAGTCAGGCTTCTATTGGGACTAGGTTTATGTTGGCTATAAAAGAGAGGCACCCCCATGGGTCTAAGGTATGTTTTTTGATACTCAAGCTTGTGAGTTTAGTACTTGATTTATCTTTGAGAGATATACTGACTTGATCGTCGGAGTGCCCCCGGTTGGTCGAAACCACCGCGGGATTCTTATATTTCTGTTGCAGGTCAGTCAGGTGCCATCTATTCTGCTAGTGCTCTCCAGCTGGTTACTAAACGGGCGGTGTGGTCGGAAAATCACCCACACAGATAGGAACATTGTGAAGATCTTAGCTCATAGTATAACAATCAACTAAATGGTAAAAACATAACCCTTATTTGGTGTATTTCCCTTGAACCCATACCTAAAAACATAACCCTTAGTTCTGACAGATTAGAAATGACAATCTACAGAACAAGTAGTCTCATTAAATAAACGATCTCTTTTTAAGCCAACATACTAAAGTTAAAGTTACTCTTAATTATCTCCCAAAAGCAGATAATTCCAAGAAATTATTCAGTGACTTGAATTCCTTGAACGTTTAACTGTGAATAAAAATAAATAATACTCACAAATTCAGCAACAAAGTGTTGAACAAACTTGATTAGTTAGAGATATTATGAAAGGAAACATATTTCATTATGCCACTTAGATTGTTTAGTTTAGTGCAGTGCAGTGAGAAGTTTGTTACTGCCCATGTTGCTTTAAACACCCTTTATATTTTCAAATCAAAAGGTAGTCTGTACTTATTGGAGAGCTCATAAGCTTTGGAATTCAATTTCTTTTCTTTAAAAGCAGGTATCTAAACTAAACCACTAAAGCATGCAAATGAAAGTGATGTGGTTAGGAAGAGCTCAGTGCGACTTGTAAACAAAAATGTAGAATTTAAAGAAAAATGGAGGCTCTGGATAGATAGATACCCGTTTGTTAAATGTAAACCGCAATGTTTGTACTTGTTAAACCCACTAAACCTAACCCACTACTACCTACCACACACACTCACCTCCTCACCTAACCTACCACTACCACCTCCACTTCATCCCCTACCACTTCACCTACTACCTTCTTCTCTTCTATATATTTGATCATTGTAAACATAACAAAATATCAAAATACACAACAATCTTGTAATCAATAATATACATCAATTTATTTTACAGGGTGAACCACGTAAATCTTATGTTCTTATGTGTGCATGTAATTTATAATACTTGTCTATTGTTCTTCTATGTTTTTCGTGTCTCACCAATTTTTTATTAGGTGTTCCTCAATTCCTAACACTAATTTTATTTGTTTAGCTTGAAAAGTAGTATAATTACAAAAGTGACTGAAAGTAGTATAATTACCAGGAAGTGATTGTCAATTAACCCACGAAAGTGACTGATATGATTTAACACAGAAGTGACTGAAAAATCCAATTAACTCCATTATAACAGCTAGCAGTATAATTACAAAATTTAAACATTTAATGTCAATTATTTTGTTCCCCAATTGCAACAGTGATGTGGGTTATAGTTTATCTCATTTTTCATGTGATGTGGGTTATTCTATCTCATTTTTCATGATCCACTTTTCTTCAATCCCAACCAAAAGCTTGCATGAAATGAAAAAAAAGAAGAAAAAAGACATAGATAATCAATTTAAAGAGCATAAACTAAAGTCATGATCAGAAATTAGTCGGTACCGCAATTTCGCTTTGAGTTCATAATCCAACAACAGCGCATAATAAAGAAGGGACAGAGATTTAGAGCAAAACCTTATGATCCTGATTCTTTGGGGATTGCATTACTATAGGCGGAGGAATGACACCATTGTCCATGTTCTGAATGTATGGCCGCACCTTCTCTTCCAACATTTCATTCAACTGTAAATCAAAATGAATAACAGACTTTTGAACCAAACTTACCAATCATGAGTCATGACAGCTCAAATAATAAACTGCGACTCTCAAACAAATCAAACAATATTTGCAAAAATGATATTGGTTTGTGTGTTTCAGCGTTTCCATAGGTCTGTCTAGTAGAAAAAACTAATCTTTTAGAGCCAATAACAACATCAAACACTTAAATTTAACAAAAGCCTAATCCTATTGTACTTTTGTTGGCTTAAAATTTTTTCCCTCTCAACCAATGTTGATCAGGATGTCATCTTGATAGCAATTGAGCCACCATTGTGATCAAGTTCATGCACCACAATTTATATCTATATTTAATACAAATATTTATCTTCAAAGATATTGCAAGGATTACTACCTTTTCTTGACGCCACTTTGTTTCCCACTCTGCTTCCAAGATTTTATCAGCAATTTCTCTTTGGGCATTAAGAAGAACTGTCATCTCATATAATTTTTTTGGATCTTTGAGGTCCTCCTTACTCCAAGCTGATGCATTCAATGGAAGGTTCATCTCCTGCAAATGCTCCACAATCATAGGATTACTGTGTGCACTAGAAAAGAAATTTCTCCTTTAAATGGGAAAAACTAGTTACATTGCTCTATACAATTGGAAGGGCACATAAAATAGAATATATATGGAATCTACTAAATTTCTCCCTTAAAGTCCTCTGAAGTGACGTGTTATCATATGACATGGCAAGTGGCTGCCCATGTGGCCATATGACAAAGGTTCAACCCAATGCCTACACAAAGTAGTGGGTTACTTATTAAAAGACAAAATTTAGCCTGATTGTTCTGTTTTTCTCATTTATAGCTATCCCAAAATGTTGCACTTATTGAAAACGGGTGAAATACTATAGATGAATGCTTAGATAGAACAAATTCCTGCAAGCGCACACAAAACTAACAGGACTTTCACCATTTCTTGTTATTAAATTGCAGTCTTATAAATACACACAGGTTAATTCTCACCATGAATGATAAACACTGGAAGAATTCTCCCTAAAAAAAAACATGCAACATCACATGAAGAAAAAGAACTTACTCCCCAATTTTCTGGTCGAGCAGGAGGATCAAGCTTCAGTACTTCTGCCTCCAGTGCCTTCTTGGCTTTGAAGTAAGGGATGTTTTTCACAACAACTGGATCATCCCTAGCACGAACAGGATCTATGGAGATCAGGGCCTGTGAATGACAAATACTATCAATCCAAAATTTCATGAGAAATTAAATCTAAAGAAAATGTTGATATTTAATAATGAAGATCATTCAATCAACAAAGACAGGCGGCACAGTTTAATCATCAAAAGCAGGCAGAGTAATTCAGAGTAAAATAAATATAAAATAAGTACAATGCACAAATGGGGTCAAGTCAATGTTTCATCCAGACCTACCACAGTTGTATATCTAGTAGAGGTATGTCTGCAAGAATCTATGAATGATAACTCTTGCATGTGTCCGTTTATTACCAAAGACTGGAAGATCTTATTATGTTCTATATGAGCATTCATCCTGCACGGTTTATTCCAAAGAAGGATTTGGGTCTCTCTTTGTCATTGACAGATAAAATATCAACTTACCTCTTGTAAGTATTCCCATCCAGGTTTTCGCTTGGCTACCACATCCCGAAGTTGATCATACCGCATAGATTCCTAAACAAAACAGAAAATCATACAATTATTAAGTTAAAAATCAAACAAATATTAAGTTACTAAAGAAATCATGTGCTGAATCGTGATTGAGGCATGTGATAAATTTGAAAACTAGTGACGTTCTATTTTTTGGTTGATTTCTGATAATTTAATTTTCAGTTTATTATCTTTTCTGGTTATTTGTAGTATTACTAATTCCAGGCATTCTGCACAACATAAGGCTAATTCAATTTATTTTGTTGCTGAATAATCATGCTATGACAAACTTCTTACTGCACTGCACTGCGCTGTGCTAAACAATCTAAGTGGCATAATGAAATATGTTTCCTTTCATAATATCTCTAACTAATCAAGTTTGTTCAACACTTTGTTGCTGAATTTGTGAATATTATTTATTTTTATTCACAGTTAAACGTTCAAGGAATTCAAGTCACTGAATAATTTCTTGGAATTATCTGCTTTTGAGAGATAATTAAGAGTAACTTTAACTTTAGTATGTTGGCTTAAAAAGAGATTGTTTATTTAATGAGACTGCTTGTTCTGTAGATTGTCATTTCTAATCTGTCAGAACTAAGGGTTATGTTTTTAGGTATGGGTTCAAGGGAAATACACGAAATAAGGGTTATGTTTTTACCATTTAGTTGATTGTTATACTATGAGCTAAGATCTTCATTGTGTTCCTATCTATATTAATTCAATCCATATTATTTTGATGAAGGTTAAAAATGTCAGATGCTAACTCTGAAGCACCAGTTAACTCTGAAGTACCCGTTAACACTCAAGTACCATTTGAGAGTGACGCGTCATAACATTCATCGCCAGCTACAAATGCACCTACGAACTCACCGTCTCCCCTCTCTAATCAACATGTTATTGATTTAGAAGAAGAGTCTAATACTACTTGTGGAGGAACTAAAAGAAAACCTAGTGTTGTGTGGGAACATTTTAAAAAACAACAAGTCAATGAGGTGTGGAAGGCAATATGTAATTATTGTAATAAGCATCTTGGAGGTGATTCAAAAAAATGGAACTAGGCATTTGCATGATCACCATAAGAGTTGTACTAGGAAAAAAGTGATGGACATGAGGCAAAAAGTGTTAACTAACAACTTTAGTAGAGAGAGTCCAAAAATGAATTCTTATATTTTTTATCAAGATTTTGCTAGGAAAGAGTTGTCACATGCCATAATCTTGCATGAATATCCCCTCTCTATCGTAGATCATGTTGGTTTTAAACGATATTCAGCAGCACTTCAACTATTGTTTAAAGTGCCTTCTCAAAACATGATAAAGAGTGATATTTTAAAGATTTATGATTATGAGAGGGTGAAGACATTGAGTTTGGTGGAGCATAATAAAAGTAGGGTGGCAATCACAACAGATAGGTGGACTGCTAGCAATCAAAAGAAAGGATTCATGACTGTCACCGCACACTTTATTGATGATTCATGGACATTGCAAAGTCGCATTTTGAGGTATATTTTTGCAAATTTGCAAATCATTTAAAACTTCTATCTTATTCAGTTTAATTTGCATGTTATTAATACTTGTTTATGAATATCATATTTTAAGTTTATTTATGTTCCATGGCCACACACAATGGATTTGATTTTTTATGTTGTAATGGATATTTTTTTTTAATTTTTAATTTCAATTTTTGGGTAGCCTATCCCTTGCGGGTTGTGCTTGGGATTAGTTATTCTCTTTGCTACTTGTTGAATTTTTTTGTGTGTGGGCTGCTGAATTTTCTTATGTGTGTGGGCTGCTGAATTTTCTTGTGTGTGTGGGCTGCTGAATTTTCTTAGAGAAACACGATGCTATTTTATGAGTTTTGTATGGCACTGTGATGACACTGTTATGACACTGCTACAGGATGTATTTTTTAATTGGGCTGCTGAATTTTCTCAATGTTTTGTGTGTGGGTTGTGTATGATGCTACAGGATGTATTTTTTAAATGGCACTGCTACAGAATCTTTTTAATTGGCAATGCTACAGGATGTATTTTAATTCATGTTTACAGAATGTATAGCATACTACAGGTTTTGTATGGCATATTTTAATTCACTGCTACAGATTTTGTATGGCATACTACAGGTTAATTGGCATGCTACAGGTTATTTAAATCCATGTTAATTGGCAATGCTATAGGTTTTGTATGGCATTGTCTTCATTGTCTCAAATATATTTTAGTCCATGTTTATAGATTTTTATAAATTAAAAAACAAAAAAAAAAACCCCGGGGATTTTATCCGAAACCACAAACCTGACATGATAATTCTCATGGAAACCAAAGTCACACTTAGTTCTATGGGCACGTTTTCAACAACTTGGGCTTCACTGCCTCATCTAGTGTTGATCCGAATGGTAGAGCTGGAGGAATTTGGCTCTTATGGGAGCCCTCACAAGTCAGTGTTAATGTATTCGAAGCCAACAACCAAGTAATTCATGCCACATTTTAATATATATAATTTTATTTTATAAAATTAAGACCAATATTATATATATATATATATATATATAATAAATTTCATAATAACAAATTAAGACCAATATTTTCAAATAATTTGTTTTCAAATAATTTTTTTGAAAATTAATTTTTTTTTCTATTAATTTTTTTTTCACTTAATCTTTTACATAAAAAAAAATTTGGTCTCCTTTAAATTTTTTAAAATTATTTTTTTTCAATTATAATATGTGTGATCCCATTGTTATAAATAATAAAAATATATAAAAATATTTTAGGCCTAAACAAACATATTTTTATTTTATGTTTTTAAAATTTTTTAAACATTTTGTTCAAACCAAACGGGTTTATAATTTATGTTTTTCTAAAACCAATTTATAAAATTTTTGTAAACATAAACCAAAAACGTAAACGTTACCATACGCTACCTTAGTGTTTAAGGATAAAATTTATTTTTTTTATTTTAGGGTTTAGGATTTAATTCTTAAAATTTATTTCTTTTTATTTTAGGGTTTAGGATTTATAGTTTAATTCTTAAAATTTATTTTAACTTCAATTTTATAAAAAAATAAATTTTAAGAATTAAACTATAAATCCTAAACCCTAAAATAAATAAATTTTATCCCTAAACACTAAGGTAGCGTTTGATAACGTTTACGTTTTTATTTATGTTTACAAATATTTTATAAACTGATTTTTGTTTATTTTTAGAAAAACATAAATTACAAATGAGTTTGGTTTGAACAAAATGTTTAAAAAAATTTAAAAACATAAAATAAAAAATATGTTTATTCAGGCCTAAAATATTTTATATTTATTTTTATTATTTATGACAATGGGATCACACATATTATAATTGAAAAAAAAATAATTAAAAAAATAATTGAAAAAAAATTAATTTAAAAAAAATTAATTGAAATAAAATTAATAGAAAAAAATTTATTTGAAAAAAAAATGATTTGAAAATATTGGTCTTAATTTCATATAGTTGATTATTATTTGCTATTATAAATTATTAATATTGGTCTTAATTTTATAAAATAAAATTTATATATATTAAAAATTATATTGGTTTGGTGTGTGTGTGATGAGTGTTTGTGTGTCAGAAAGAGTGAGAGAGAGCGAGAGAGAAGAGTGAGTACATGGAGTGGCTGGTATTGAAAGTGTGATTCGAAATCACGTTTTCTCAAAAAAATATCTAAAGCGTGATTTAGAACCATGTTTTATGAAGAAAAAAAAATTTCTTTAAAAGCGTGTTTGTAACCACGCTTTCTTAATTAAAAGCATGGTTTGTAACCACGTTTTTACTATTTCACAAATTTCCCGCGGGAAGGTCATAGGAACAGTGAAAGTGTGGTTTGTAATAGCGCTTTAGCCTAGTTTGGAAATTCTATCCAAACCAGGCCTAGTTTGGGAATTAAGTTACTAATTTGGCGCCAAGTTTCTTATTTTTTTCTTTTTACTTCCTGTATTTTTTTTTTTTTTGAGAAATTCTTTTTGTACTTTAGATAAACTCAAATTTGAATAAGGGCAAAATGAAATTAATGAATAGATAGTTCAATATATGCGAATAAAGAAATTCTAGGGGAACTCAGGAAGTAAAGGAAAAAGGACAAATTACAACACTCTTGATATTTAATACAAATTTCCTCTCGCATTAAAAAAATTACACTTAGAGCATCCTTAATAGAATCCCTAAATTTCATCCTTACCTATTTTAAGGGATTAGTGACTCTCTATATCCTTACATTAGAACCCTTAAACACTTCCCTAAAATAAAAATTGCTACAGTGACTCCCTGTTTGTAAGAAGTCAATGTAACTCCCTTATAATTATTATTATTATTGCTTTATTTTGTTTAGGGATTGCAGTACACATTTATAATTTTTATTTTTTTAAATTTATCATTAAAAATTATATTTTAATAAAATAGAGAAAAAATATGTAGTTTGTTAATAGAACTCTACTTTCTTAATAGTAACAAAGTATTAGCTGCTACTATTTAATCTTATTACTTATGCTATCTTTAAAAAAAAGAAAAAGAAAAAAAAAAGAAGGTAATTATACTTACTTCTTGTCAGATTAAAATGATATATTTTCCCTTTAACTTTTATACATATAAAATAATAAAATGATGCTGATATTTTGTTCATGTCATTTTAATAGAAATAACAATCTTCTTTGGTTGAACTCACACAAAAAATTAATTTTTTTTATTTTTCGTATTCTTTTATTTGTACTGAATTTTTATAATATTTAAGCAATTTTTTATTTTTTTATTTTTTTGTTACACCTAATCTAAATATACTTAAGAAGTATAATATTTTGTGATTTTTTTTTTAAATTCACCAAATACCAAAAAAATATAAAAAATATAAAAATTCAATACATTATCTTGTTGTATTCAATAAATTTTTTTGAAGTTCTTTGTACAAATTTTATACTTTTTGAATATATTTAAATTAAATTGATCTAATCTAGATATAATGATGGAAATAAAAATGAAAAATTATATTCATAAATAAAAATTTCATAAAAATGTTGTGATATTGATATAAATCATGTTTATGACTGTTTTGTTTTAAAATGAAAAGTTATCATTAAACTATATCATTGTGTTTGAAAATTCTATATAAAGTTTATGTTTATATATCATCACTCAATAAGAATATGTTCAGGTAGAATTTAATAATGAAAAGTTATAGAATGTAATAATAATGATAGAAAGAAGAAATGATAGAAAAAATGACAAGATTATTATTTAAAAAAATTTAGAACATGACATCAGCAATCCAGTGGCCAATTTGTAAGAAGATTACAAATCTCATGGAGGAGAATGTAATTTTTCAAATGTAAAAAGGAGATATGTATTAAACAAAAACCATAGAGGGTGTCAGGGGAATTTACCGAAGGAAAAATATCCAAATATGTTTCTCTATATAATATGAATTTTACTATATTATATAGATAAACGAATAAATAAATGTCTAAGGAAGAATTGCAAATCAAACATAAGATGAACTACCTACTTTTGTCTCCTAGAAGGGTAGATGAGTGATGAAGGGAGAGCTATACTGAAATTCAAACAATCTTGTTGGGAACAATTTTTTGTTGCCAAATGTGTCCATTCTTTCATGAACACCCCAAAAAAAACCAATGTATAAGGTAGTTTATGAACAATTATGTTTATAAATTATTGAATTTATTATTAGCATGAAAGAAATTAAACTAGTAAAACTTATATTTGATACATATTTAGTATGAATTCATTAAGATCAGATTATATTGAAGTTTTTATGTCAATGAGGGTAAATTTTGTTTGTCTAAGAAAGATATGATTCAATAATTAAAATGAGATAATGTAGATCAGTACCTGAACAATAAAATTTCTATACAATATTTTTTACATTTAATGAAAATATAAAGAGTAAATTTTCATCGAAGGCATGGAGAATAGACGAAATTGATTAAGCAAATAATTCATACTAAATTGCAGTATCAAATAGAATATTTTTACTTGATTGTCTGATTAGAAATGCCTCTGCTTATATACAATACTTCTTGAACCACACTCCAATATTGAGGAAGCCTTCGAAATCAGATTGTGGTCTGCAAAAGAGAAACATCAAGCAAATATAATTACCATGTGAGAGGTTAGCTTGAGAGTTGATTAGACTGAGTTCTTGCCAAAAAAATAAAAGCACAATGGGAAGAAGTTTTACTTTTCGATTCCATGGACATCATTGGGAAATACAATCACTTTAACTTCAGTTCCTTTCTCCTTTAGGGCCCGTGCATACTGCATCAAAGTATTCACATTATCATATTATGCCTGTTGGTTTACTTGTCAAAATTAAACCCACGTTTAGGATCTTTTGTTCAATGTGCATCTCATCTAAACCTATGTTTAAGCATGGTTTTTCATCATAAATTTTCAGAACACACTTCAAATAGTGAATAGGACATGAAGTCTTACTTGTAATCCGTTGGAAATTGGAACACGAAGATCCTGAGCACCTAAAAGAAAAAGTGTAGGTGTTTTGACCTGCAAATAATTTCAATACAGGGAATTCAATCATCAAATACAATGTAAGCATCCATTATATTATCTGTTCTTGGCAGTGGAACAAAAAGCAAGTCTTGGCTCGCCCAATTTGAGTTTGTGAAGATAAATAGTATAGCATGCTCAAATTTGTGGATTACATAATGGACACCACAAACCCTCGTTATACTGAACAAGTTAAGCTAGAAAACAAGTTTTTTCTTTTGTATGAAGGAACTTCAGATATTCTTTCACTCTATATCTCTCCTTCAGTCTAGCAAGTAGCATCAAACCTTCTTCTCTTAACCTTTACCTTCTAAAATCGTCTTTGCATACCATGCAAGGACCATGGCTTTCCTTCGTCAGCATTAAAGATGTGTCAAATTCAATTCCAGAAGGATAATTAAGAAGAAAAAAATGGATAAAGGGGAAGGTTTTGTGCTTCTATTTAGCCCAGCCACTTTCACATGACCATTAGAACAAGCTTTGTAGAATCATGTAGCATCTGGTCACAAATTCTGAGTGAAATCTGAATTCAAAGTGTGTGCATTTGTCAAAAGGAACCCAAGGCAATTTTTAAAATAGTAATTAACTAGTATTCAGAAAGCATACCCTCGACAAGTGTGAAATAGGAGACTTGCTGTGAAAAAGAGATAGGTGTTCAGCTGAAGGTGCTTCAGTAAAGATAGTTTTCCCCTCACTTCCACAAGTCTCCACATAGCACCAATCAGGAATATCAGAAGTACCAACCATCAGAGCAAGGTTACAAACAGGATTCCTTACAGCTGCCGCAGCAAATTTATCTGGCGCCTGCAGATTTTTTAACACCAAAATCAACCATATCAAAATTGAGAACTTTGCAGCTTAAGAAAGCAAAATATACTTCTAATAGCAGGAACCCACACATCCAGTCTCACAAGTGTACGACTGTACGCACCACAAACCGCCCTCTCTGTAGCTTTATTCTTGGGTGTTCAAGTGTCCACCCTCAAGGTTAGATGATTGGATGAATATGTATTCACAACAACTCAACTCAACAAAGACTAATCCAACCAGTTGGGTTTTTGGCTACATGGATCCTATTTCACCATTTCGCTTTATCAAGTGCTATAATTTCAGTTAAACCATATGGTATCATGTTTTTCCTTTTTCCAAACAAATGTCAACAATGTCACTCTTCCTTACTAGTACAGTTATTGGTCTTTGTTGTATATAACCGAACCATCTTAGTTGACTTTCCCTCATTTTATCAACAATTCATGCAAAACAAAAATGAGAATTAAGGATACAATGGCATAATACAAACATTAAAGGAGATAGTTTTTGCCGAACTGCTACACCTGACCAATCAAATGGGTTGTCAAAAAGCCACCATGAGAACCACCAAGCACAGCTATTTTAGAAGGATCTGCGAGTCCCATGCCAACAACATGATCAATGGCAGTGAGTACATCATTGACGTCCTGCATGTATTAAGCACAAAAGCTCAGTGTTAAGAGGAACTCCACAAACTATTACATTGCCATAACACACTGGATTTTTAAGTACTAAAGGAAAATTTCGAATACCAAGAAAGAACAATAAATTAAAGTAATTTGGAATAATAAGTACCTGAGACCCAACTTTTCCTGGGAGAGATTGTAATGCTTCCTCACCAAATCCCAAAGAACCTCTGAGAAAAATTTCCATATTAGCACACGCTTGAATGAAGAGCAGCATCATCACTTAGGCCTCGTTTGGGAACAGGCTAATTTAGTAACTTTTTGACTATTTGGCTAAATTATGAGCTAAAAAAAACTAGTATGTTTGGGATGGCTTTTTAACTTTTTATGAAAAGATGTGCAAAAAGTAGAGAGAAAAGAGAATCTTTGACTTTTTGGTATGGATTGTTGGCTTTTTGGTTAATTTAGTAACTTTTTGACTTTTTGACTAAAATAGAGGGTTCCCAAACGAGGCCTTAATTGACATATAAGATGCTATCAAAAAAATATTAGTAGGGCCCCTGTGTAGAGGAAAGGGGAGAGGGGATTGAATAAATTATCCAGAATTTCATGCAAGGTGTAAGAAATACATTCATAGATCACTCCCACTCTAAAGTCAGAACACATTATGCAAGAGAGAAAGCATTTAAAAAAAATAAAAAAGGTACTGCAACATGAGGAGTTGGACAAGCTGTGGTCATCACTTATTGGACAACCCAAATGTTCGCTATCGGCTTAAACAAGGTTTTGACTTTAAAAAAAAAAAAGAAAAAAAAAAGGACAAATTTCTAAACAATTATGCTTTTTCTTTTAGAAGAAAATATATAAGAGGAAAACCATGGAATTACCTATAATTTACAATCAACAAGCTGTAACCAATAGAAGGACAGAGAATGACAAGGACTTTGAAAAGGTTGTCAAAGAGACGGAGTGCGGCCCTCCATGAAGCATTACAATTAGTGGATCACATGCATCACTCTTCTTGGACTTGGAGGACACAAATATAGCTTCAAAAGGTTTGCTGGCACCTAAATGAAATGAAGATATACAAGCCATTAATGCAATTTAACACAAGATGTAATATTGATCAATATTCCATCATTTGTTATCTAGCATGCAAAGAAAACCACCATAAAACAACTTCTGAACTGTTTCAAAAACTCGGGGCAGCACATTTTTATAGGGTCCCAGCCCCAGTCAAATGATGGTGACATCAAGATATTTAACAAAAATGCAAAACCCTTGGCATAAATAGCCCACTTACAGCATGCAAACATACATACAGTTTCCATTTACAGATCAACCAAAATGCCTAAACTCTTTCTGTCACCCAACACTAATTTATTCCAACACAGTTTCCAGTTTTGACAAAATTTTATCTTTTGTTTCTACTGGAAATTGAGCTTACCTTATCTTATATGGAAATTATTTTACAGGTCTAAATCTACTTTTGCTTTCTCAATTTATTTTTCCCTCCTATTATATGGGTACTATCATCAATAAACACCTTGTTAAGCATAAGTAACAACTCAAACAGTATCCAACTAATCCATTATAGTATTAGTTGCTTTTTTTAGGTACATCCTACAAATTTCTTTCTGGTTTTCCCCTGGGGGGCTGCACGTAGGGCAGGAAAAAAAATCTAGGGTAACACTAAAGTCGTCTGACTCCTATCTAATCTAGGTAGAAGGCTATCCCACTATCATGGCTTAAAGTCAGCTCTCCTAGTCCCAGCAGTGGCAATAATATAGAAGTAAGTTTGGGCACATAACGTAATCAAAACCTTGCTAAGGGCAAGCCTGTTCTCAGATTCATAGGCCTTTTCTTATAGTAGCAGCCTCTTTCGTACACAAAATCAATGTGACTTCGCTCTGAATTTGCCTTCTTTGTCTTTAGTTGTCAAATCGAGATTCGAATCGTGAATTGAATTAGTCTGGTACCGAATTGCGAATCGAATAGTGAATCGTAAAGATTCAAACACTTTTTTTTTTAAATTATATAGAAAAATATATCTACACATTTAGTTATTAAATATATCTAATAAATATAAAATATTTAGACTTCAATCAATGAAAATATTATTTTAAATGATGATCACATGGTCTGGATAAGAAGTTAACACGGGTTTCCGTGTTTATCACGTCACTCTGTCCCTTTTAGATACTAATTTCTTATCAATCATTTTTAATAAAGAAAGCAAACAAAAACAAAATTTCAATTTTCAAGTAATAATAGTTCAACAATAAGGAAAATGCTATAGGTCCCAAATTTTTTACCAAATGAATGACCAAATATCTTGTTAAAATCCACAAAATATTATTTTAAATGATGATCACATGGTCTGGATAAGAAGTTAACACGGGTTTCCGTGTTTATCACGTCACTCTGTCCCTTTTAGATACTAATTTCTTATCAATCATTTTTAATAAAGAAAGCAAACAAAAACAAAATTTCAATTTTCAAGTAATAATAATTCAACAATAAGGAAAATGCTATAGGTCCCAAATTTTTTACCAAATGAATGACCAAATATCTCACATGGGTGCTGATCTCACATGGGTGTGGGGCACACCCATGTAGATATTTGGTCATTCATTTGGTAGCATTACCATGTTTTTAACTGTTTACAAGGTTAAGAAACCAAAATCTTCAAACTTTTTCAAAAATATCACTTGATGCCTTCAAAAATTTCATTTTGTAAATGCAAGTACTTGGATAAAAATTGAATATGTAAGCCTATAATATTATAGAAAGAGAGTTCATTTTTGTCCCCCTAAGGTTTGAGTATTTGAGAGTTAATAGGGAAGGAAAAAGTCAAAAGATGACATATAGTAATCCTAAAGAACTTTAAAAGGTTGTGTGAACCCTTTTCCAAAAATAAAAAACCAAAAAAGAAAGCCAAACATCGATTTTAGTGAATCGAATCGATTCACGGTTCACCGATTCAATTTAACGATTCATCGATTCACCTATGATTCATAGCTATTTGCAATTCACACAACCTATTCGTATCGATTACCCACTAAATCAAATCGAATCATAGGATTCTAATAATAGCTCAATCTCCAAGTGAAGCATAGACGAGCTGGCTAGACTATTATGAAATTGTGTATACCTGTACTAGTATTATTTTCATCAATATTCCACGTGATTTTGCATCCTGGAATGGTACAGTTTATCTTTACTTTTCTTAAAGGTCCCTATATAAACCCCACGAAATTTAAAGTCAAAGACTGATAGATAAAGTATACGAAGTCAAATACAGTAGTGGAGAATATGGAAGAAACTGGTAAGCCAGGGAACTTCAGCACTCACAGAATAACATGAGTCTCAATTACACCACTCCATCAACAAAGAAATGGATACTGTATGAAAATATGCGACAGAATACCTTTGGAAAGGTTCTCAGAAACATTCCTAACTGGAATCTTCATCACACTAAACTGAAGAGATGACAGCAAAGTTCCAACCTGTGCAAGATTGTCACAAGATAGATGGTTTACACAACTTTAAGCTTCTAATAAATAATTGCCACATAAATAAGTAGCTTATATTTGTACAAAAGGGGATAGAATAAACCTTCTCAGAACATCTTGATATGGGGCTTGAAATATCCGCCCAACTCCATGCTGGAACTGTAGATGACTCCTCAACAGGATAACCGTACTTGATTTGAGGAACATCTATCGGACTGCTACATACTTCAGGAGCAAGGGAAAAAAATAAAACAAATAAAACATTAATTTGATCTCAACCTCTTCCATATAACGATCAACTTTGAAAACATTATAATTTAGTTTTACCAGCAACAATATTGTCCCCATCTAATGTAAGAACATTCCATGAAAAATTTGAGTCGCTAGGGCTGATTCGTACTACATTACCACTGTAAATAGAAAATTTTATGCTGGGTAATTATACAAATTGAATACAAATGAGGTATCTACATCCATGAGCTAGAGAAACATAAACTCTTACCTCACCACATTGACAGAAAGAATTGCTTGAGTGCTATGCCAGTAGGAGGATAAAATCATTGTGTATCCATCAGATAGCCATGGTTTACTAAGAAAACCTGAACAGTATAGTCCTGGGATGCAATCATCCTCAGCACACATCACAACAGGAACCTACAAAAAAGTTGCAGACAATCAGCCACTGTTATTTGCAGTTAAATGAAAGCCGAATTAAGATCCATCATCATCAAGGTTCACTAAACTCTACATTAAACTGAAGCTTTCATAGAATCAAATAACTATGACCATGTTATGCAATACATGAGGATTGTATGGCTAACACAATTTTCCAAAGTTACCATGCATATGATCTCACTTTCTTCACTGCACATTTACCGTATGCAGACCTTTTCCATTACTAATTTCTAATAATTGTGAATCTAACTTCCTAAGGGACGGATGAAGTAGCTTTCAGGACATCTTTATAGCAATATAATGAATATTGCCAAAAAGCTTGAAGTAAATTTTCTCTCAGCTAATTTTATAAACAAAGTTACAAACAAAAACATGAGCAAAAACTTTCAAGGGCATAATTCCTGTGGGGGAAAATACAAGTTTGAAATCTTGTAACTGTGCAACTACTTATTCATGTGTACATTTTCCTTTTCTTTTTCTTTTTCTTTTTATTTTTTATAAGTCCATGTGTACAATAGAACTAATATCTATAAATTTCAATGTACGGAGGAAACCAAGAGTAGTGCATGTAAATTTGACAGAACATATGCAGAACTCACCACATCAACAATTTTTGCTGATGGATCCAGCTTTCCGTCCGTTGGCCAATCAATTCTATGAAGTGAATCTGTTGCAGAATGTGCCCCGGAATCTACAGAACTTTTTGCAGATAAAAACACAAGATACTTTCCATCTGGGCTGAAACACAATCATAATTACAAATCAAGGTTTGAGGACTAGCACTCACTTTATTCTTGTGGAATAGTTTCAACAACTGATGAAGAGCAAAAGCTACCATTGGTTTTTAAATTACAACAAGTAGCTCTATATTATGCAGTTATAATGCAACAAACATCACCTTAGATGATCCAGACAAACTGACTACTCAATTAGAAGCAGTAGCAAATGTACTTTCTAAGGATTCAATCCCAGTAACCTCAGAAAGTTACAGTATAAAAAGCAACAAGAAAAGCAAACATATACACATCCAAAAAGGATAATAGCTGGGGAACAAAGTATATGAATAGAAAGATACCTGAAACATGGAAAGAAAGCACTACTTATGCTTTGGGTAAGATTAAGTGCGCTTGCATCTTCATTCACTTCACCTCTAAACATAATAATGTCAAATTACAAGGATAGTTAAGCTTATATAACTTTAAGATGAATAAGACATACAGAAAAATGTAATAGAACATAAGATAATTTTAATCAGTGCAAGAAACCTACTTGGGATGAAGTACATTGGCCCCGTATTCTTGAAAGGGAGCCCTGACTGCATACAAGGCACAAGGCCTATTGTAGCAGTACTTAATACCAAGCTTTCTCCCCTTAGATGATGACCATCCAACAAAAACCAAATATTGATGCAAGCCTTTAGTTGATGGAGCCCATACAACTTGTCCAATACTCAATGACTTCCCGATTCCCTCAACATCACGTACCTCTCCACTGCAAAATTTCACATTAAGCACTTCCCATCCAAGTAATTAACCCTATCATAACCATGATGTAAGCCAAAACTAGCTAAAACAAACCTGTTAATATTGATGACAAAAGGTACAGGTCTCCTTTTTCCAGAGTAGGTTTCCCCCCAGTCCTCCTCCCAATCACCTTGACCTTTCCAGCTGCCACAATCCTTATCTGCGGAACCTCCTTTCTTGTAGCCGAAACCATTAAATGTGGGCTTGGAAGGAGCAGGCTCCTCAGCAACATAAGCAATTAGAGTTTCATCAGAATTCCAAGAAATTCCTTCAAACCTGTTCCGTCAGGAGACATCTAAATTTATAAAGACAGGAAAGAAAACATGCCTTACAAATTTATCAAGCTCCTAACATTACCCTCACATAAACACAAATATGTGACAAAGACATACATGATCATTTATGAATTACAAAATCACAAAGCTTTATAATAAGATAATTTGACTGATACAAGAAGTTACCATCCATCTGAGTATACAGAGCCATGAGTCGAATGAGGAATATGGAACTCTTTTTCCACTTGAGATGCTCCCCAAATTTCAAATTGAGTAGGAGTTTCATTTTCAGAATTTCGAACCACGAGAAGCTTTGTGCCTGATGGTGATGGAATGATCGTAGACACTCCCGTCATTTCAATAGGAAATTGGGCCCATTGAAAGCTTACAGAACCATTACTTTCTTTCAAAATATGACTAGATAAAATATGTTTCCTCTTTTTATTGGCCAAAAGATTTGGCTGGCTAATTGAAAACATAGCTTCAGAACATTTTCCTGCAGATATTTTAAAATACATAAAGACAGTCATAGTTAAGGTGACAACTTCTGAAAAAACTGAAGCAAAGTGGAAGATGGGGAGTGGGTGAAGAATATATATATATATATAAAGAAAATTGACTCCACTCTTTGGAGAACATTAAAATATATATAGACAAACACACACAAGAGGAGCCATACCATTGTTGGACTTAAAAGTCCATGCCTTGTCAATGATGGAGATACTTGAAAATTCTTGAAGCAATTTAGACTGAGAAGAAAATTCTTCTTCAGTAGCCTCATCTAAACCCACAGGAAATTCCTTCAGAGGGCTGGCTACAGAACCATCCATTGCTAAGCAGACTGAATTTTGTTTACTACAAATTGAACAGGATAGAAAATTAATAAGCAAAAATGACCAACAATGGACTAGGTAAGAAACTAAAAAACAAGTACTTATTATTTCTCAAAAAAAATTAGTACAAAGTTTTGGTCCTCTCTCAATGGTGTGGGATACAGAAAGGGCTAGTTGTAAGGTCACACATACACTCTGCGGACACGTGTGTCCATGTGTTATGGCTTTTCCCTGGCCCCGTACAAACTGAGCCGACCCATATTAAGAATTTACTTCTGCCAATGGTTTAAAACTCATACAAACCAGAAAAGTAGCAAATATACATAACTTTTGACTTTTATATAGAATTGAACAGAAGGAGATGATAATCATGATATAAGATTCAATACAAAACTTTCAATGCCCAGTGCCCGATAATCCTTTATCAATCCTTACAATCAAAAGTTTAAAATTTCAATGTAAATAACGCATAGCCACTTAAACCATAATGAATAACACACAGACACACACAGATTGAGATACAAAATGAATACAATTCAACTGATGAAGTTAAGCATACAAGTACGAATTCATATAATAAACGAAACCAAACTCGAATCAATGAATTTAGGAGGCAAAAAATTATCAATCAAAGCAATTTTTAAAAATTAGTCAACAATCACACAGATTGAGATACAACAAGCTTTACAACTGATGTATATAAGTATGAATTCATATAAATGAAGCTCAACTCTGAATCAATTGATTGAGCAGGCAAGAGATGAGCAATTTTTAAACATAAGTCAACGAAGAGAATAGAGAGAGAGAGAGAGAGAGAGAGAGAGAGAGAGAGAGAGAGATTTACGGTGAGAGAGAGAGGGGTTTGCGAGTGAAGCGATTGAGACGATGAAGAGGAAAAGATGATGATGATGATAAAGGGAGAGAAAGTGAAGCGAATCGAGGAAGAGAGCGAAGTAAGCTCGCGGACCACTGAGAAATAGCCGTGGCCATTCCAAAGCTGGCTCACATTTTTATATTCCACGCAACACAAATGGGAGAGCTTTTCGGATTGGGCTCCTAGTCCATCCCAATAATAAAGTCTAGACTGGAACAGAATTTAGTAATTTTTTAATTATTTAATTAAAATATGAGTTAAAAAAATTAATATATTTAGAATAATTTTTTGATCTTTTACGAAAAGATATGTAAAAAGTAGAGAGAAAACACACAGACACACACAGATTGAGATACAAAATGAATACAATTCAACTGATGAAGTTAAGCATACAAGTACGAATTCATATAATAAACGAAACCAAACTCGAATCAATGAATTTAGGAGGCAAAAAATTATCAATCAAAGCAATTTTTAAAAATTAGTCAACAATCACACAGATTGAGATACAGCAAGCTTTACAACTGATGTATATAAGTATGAATTCATATAAATGAAGCTCAACTCTGAATCAATTGATTGAGCGGGCAAGAGATGAGCAATTTTTAAACATAAGTCAACGAAGAGAATAGAGAGAGAGAGAGAGAGAGAGAGAGAGAGAGAGAGAGAGAGATTTACGGTGAGAGAGAGGTTTGCGAGTGAGTGAAGCGATTGAGACGATGAAGAGGAAAAGATGATGATGATGATAAAGGGAGAGAAAGTGAAGCGAATCGAGGAAGAGAGCGAAGTAAGCTCGCGGACCACTGAGAAATAGCCGTGGCCATTCCAAAGCTGGCTCACATTTTTATATTCCACGCAACACAAATGGGAGAGCTTTTCGGATTGGGCTCCTAGTCCATCCCAATAATAAAGTCTAGACTGGAACAGAATTTAGTAATTTTTTAATTATTTAATTAAAATATGAGTTAAAAAAATTAATATATTTAGAATAATTTTTTGATCTTTTACGAAAAGATATGTAAAAAGTAGAGAGAAAAGAAAATCTTTATCTTTTTTATATGAATTATTAATTTTTTAATTTTTTTAATAACTTTTTAATTTTTTTACTAAAAAAACAACTTGTCAAACGAGACTTAAATCTGTCCATATCAGGTTAACTGTCTTAAATAGAAATGTGTACTTGAGGTATCGTTTGAAATTAGTCATTTTAGTAATTTTTTGATTTTTTATACAAAGATATATAAAAATAAATAAATAAACAAATAAAGTGAAATATAATAATTTTTTAATTTTTTAACTAAAATTAAAAGTTGTCAGATACGCCTCATATTGAATTTATATAATGTAAAATTTATGTGTAAAGTAAATTTAAATTATAAAATGATAATTTTTAAATAATTAAATCTAAATTTATAGTATCTGTGGGGACATAATTTTTTAATGACAGCACGTGGTCAATGTAGTACCGAAGTGCCAGTCGAGGTGTCATGTGTCTTGGTCATGACGCCGAGGCAATCTCGGTTAGGCCAGGGTTATTGACGAAGGTACCGAAATTCGGGATAAATGGATAAGGGACAAGAGTCCTAGAATGAAAAAGGACTTCAGTTTGGGTAAAGATAAGTTTATCTCAATCCTACTGGGAGTCCAAGATTAAATGTAATCCTAAGTCTATTGAAGTTAGGCTTCTATTGGTATTAGATCAGTGTTGGCTATAAAAAAGAGACATCTTCATGGGTCTAAAGTATGTTTTTGATGTTCTGAATAGTGAGTTAAGTATTTTTGCTATCTTTAAGAGATAACTGACTTGATCGTCGGAGTGCTCCCCGGTAGATGAACCGTCGCTGGAATCTCTTCTTTTTTGTGACAAGTCGTTCGAGCAATTTATTCTGTCGATGCTCTCCTGTTGAGTTCCCTCTTTGATTATGTGGTCGAAATTCAACACACACAGTATCACTAATTGCATCCAAGCTCCCATTATTACCGCATTAAAATTGGCCTCTTTAGGTGGGATTACTTAATCCCAAGACATCATCCTAATAATTTTCATTTATGATTTTGAGTTCCAAAAAGCAAGATATTGCTTTCATAACACAATAATTAAGGGTAATTTTTCATTTTGCAATAAATGGCCAAAAACTTCAAATTGTTATCAAACGCTAAAAAAGTCTTTCAAAAATTTATTTTTTAGACTTGGCCTAACAACGATTTTCAGTTCAAGTGGGTTTGACAAATATTTTTAAGTAGATTTAATGTATTAAAAAAAATTAATAATTAAAAAAGATTATGCCTTTCCAAATGATAAAAAATATTTTTTTTTGGTTTTTGAAAAAGTTGGGTGGAAAAGTAATTTTTTTTTTTTTTTTTTAGTAATATCAATCAAGCATACACTATAAAAAAAAAGTGGACTTAAAAGACGGAATTTTTTGCGACGACACATTTGACGTCGCAACGTCGCAAAAAATGTAACATTTTGAGACGGCACAACTTGTCGTCGCAAAAAATGTGAGTTTTTGAGACGGTACAACTTGCCGGTGCCAAAAAATGTGACTTTTTGAGACGGCACAGCTTGCCGTCGCAAAAAATGTGACCTTTTAAGACGACACAACTTGCCGCCACAAAAAAAATGTGACTTTTTGAGACGGCACAGCTTGCCGTCGCAAAAAATGTGACATTTTGAGACGGCACAACTTGTCGTCGCAAAAAAAATGTGACCTATTGAGACGGCACAACTTGTTGTCGCAAAAAATAGAGGCTCCGTTTGGTAAACATTTCAAAATATAGTTTCACCCATTGATTTGAGTATTTTGCTTGTTTGGAGTTTTCAAATCATAATTCTACACACATTTCTCAAAACTCAATTCAAAACATAATCATTATTTTTCAAAACTTATAACTAAACATATAAAGCTATTTTCAAAACTCAATTCAAATCAATATTTTAATTTTTTAAATATTTTAAATATTTAAATATGTTACCATTTTTTTAATTTTTTTAATATTTTTAAATATTTTAATTTCAAAATATTACGATTTTAATTTTTATAATTTTAAAATATTTTATAGAAATAAATTCAAACTCTATTTTATAAAAATATTTTCAAATATTTTAATTTTTTTTGTTATGTATTTGGTTACGATTTGAGTGTAGAGTTGTGAAAGTAGTATGAAATTTCGAGTTATGTGTTTAGTTACGAGTTTTAAAAATAATTTCTTAATTGAGTTTTGTTTTATGTGTTTGGTTACGATTTGAGTGTAGAGTTGTTTTTAAATTTAAAATATTAACATTTAAAATTATTTAAAATTTTTGAATATTTAAACTATTTAAATTTTTACGATTTAAATTTTTTGAATATTTATTTTGAAAAAAAAAATTATTTCCTTTGTACTATGCCAATTAAAAAATTGATTAATGTTATTTTCTGTTAATAATAATTTTTTTTAATTGAATTTTAAAAAGAGTTTGGTTATGAGTGTTGATCAGAACTTTCAATAGTGTGAAAGTAGTGTGTTTTGTTATGAGTTATAAACTCTGTCTGTCTCTCTCTTTCTCTCTATGTCTCTGTCTCTCTTATTTTTCTCTCTCTCACTCACCACTCTTCTCTGTCTTTCTGTTTCTCTCTCTCTCTGTCTCTCGTCCATCTCTTTTCTGTCTATCTCTCTCATCTCTCTTCTCTCTCTGTCTCTTTTCTCTTTATCTCTCTCGCTTATCTCTCCCTATCTCTTTCTTGTTTATCTCTTTTCGCTCTTTTTTTGTTTTTTTTCTCTCTCTCTCTCTCTCTCTCTCTCTCTTTGTCTATATCTTTTCACCAATTTTTTCATCTTCCTCTCTCTCTTCTCTTTCTCTCTCTCATTCATCACTCTTCTCTCTCTGTCTATCTGTCTCTCTCTCTGTGTGCCTCTTACTCATCTATCTCTTCTCTCATCTATTTTCTCTCTCTGTCTCTTTCGTTCATCTCTCTTCTCTCTATCTCTCTCATCTCCATCTGTCTCTCTCACTCATCTCTCTTCTCTCTATCTCTCTCGTTCATCTCTCTTCTCTCTATGTCTCTCTCGCTTAGGAGCTAGGAGCGTGGGTTAGACTCCAGTTTTGTCAAGCCAGCCTATGTGCCTCACTGCGAGGTTCCGAGCCTATCGTGTTAAGGCTTAGGGGTGTTTTACAATTCCCCCTTCTGTACCGTCTACTATTTTGTATAGACTGAATGTTTTCTGTACTGTTATGGGGTTGAGTCCCTAGTTTGAATGAATGTAAATATTGTGCATACTGTTCTGTACTGTTTACGTATGAATGCATGAAAAGTCTTTTTGGCATACAGACTCTCACAGCTCATTGGGCATTGTTTATTTACTGTTTTGGCTTCCGCCAGGCCCTGTACTCTGTTTTACTGTACTACTGTTCTGCAGGCCTTCGGTAATCTCGGATTACTGGCTGGTTACGGTGCTAAACCCATAGGGCCGAGTTTGGGTCGTGACACTCCCACTGTGTTCGCGTTGCTCACTCTCTCCCTTCCGTCTTCTCTATTTACTGAGCTCCCTCTCGATTTATCTATCCACTACAAGAAAATGCACTTTTAGTGACCACTTTGTCTCTCTCTCGCTCATCACTCTGTCTCTGTCTCTGTCTCTCTCTCTCTCTCTCTCCTCTATCTGTCTCTTACTCATCTTTCTCTCTCACCACCCATCTCCTTTACCACCTTCATCACTACTACAAACACCATGCCACTACCACAATTACTACCACTGTCGCCACTTCACCTCTACGACTACCATTACTACTACCATTGCCACTAATCCACTACCACCACTACCACTATTGCCGCTACTACTACCATTACCTCTCCTTCACCCCGCCACTCCATCTACTCTACCACTATCACAACTTTACCACTAATCTCCTTCGCCATCACCACTATCACCACCATCTCCTCTTGTCCACCACCTTCACCACTACTATCGTTCCCTCTCCTCTACCACAAAAAATTAGTTCATGATTTTTAATAACAAAAAAAAATGGGCCACAGAAAAATATTTTTCATTGACCACAGAAAATTAACTTTTAGGGGTTATTTGGGGCATCATAAATAAGTGCACTTTTTCTTTTTTTAGACTAAAAAGTTAAGGAAAAAAATATGATTGTTTGGGTTAACTTTTTGACTTTTTATGAAAAAATGTGTATTA